GGTTCAGCCCAGGCGGCTGTCATCCAGGCAGGGAGACGGCGCCTGTGCTTCCTGCTCGGCCAGTGTCCCTTCAAGTGGCTTGTTTTCCTACTGTTGCGTCGTGAGACTTCTTTGTTGGAAATACGGTTTGTCAGTATTTTCTCCCGGTCTGTCTTTTCATTCTCTTGCATTTCATAGAGCAAAAGTTGTTTTAATTGTGATGAAGTCTAATTTATCTCCACCCCCCCACCCCCCGGCTTTTATGGATCATGCTGTTACCTCTAAGAACCCCTTTTCTAACTGCAGGTCACAGACATTTTCTCCTAGCTTTTCTTCTGAGTCTTTTTTTTTTTTAATCCCTATCCAAGGACACTTTTTTTGCATTCATCTTCAGATAGAGCGTGAAGGAGAGAGGGAGGAAGAGAGAGACATTGATGTGAGAGAGACACATCAAGTGGCTGCCACCCACATGACACCAACCGGGGCTGGGGACAAACTGCAACCGAGGTACGTGCTCCCAGCAGGAACCGAACCCGGGTCTCTCTGGACTGCAGGCCCGACGCTCTAACTGCTGAGCCAAACCAGCCAGGGCTGCATTAAATATATTGATCAATTTGGAGAAAATTAACAATCTTAGTATGATGAGTCTTCAAATCCATGAACACAGTATGCATCTCCATTTACCTAGGTCTGTGTGTGGGTGGGGAGTGGAGAGGGTTCAGCATACAGAACCTATACATGTTCTGTTAGATTTTTACCTAAGTATTTCCTGTTTTTCCTCCTTATTTCTCCTTCCCCTTTGCCTCCTCTTTTTCAACTTTTGTTAGTGTAGTTTTCTGTTTATTTATCTCTAATTGTTAATTGCTAGTATATAGAAATACAGTTGATTTTAGTGTTTGGCTTCATATGGTTTAGTAACCTTTTTAAATTCACTTATTAGTGTTAGAAAATTTTGTAGATTTCTTGCGATTTCCTACATATATCAATCATGTTTTCTTCAGATAGAAGCAGTTTTATTTCTTCCTATACAATCTGCATGCCTTTTATTTCTTTTTCTTGCTTTGTCGCCCTAACTAGCATTTCCAGTATGATGGCAAATAGGAATAGGTAGCAATGGATACTCTTGTCTAGTTTTGGATCTTGTGGGGAAGTATTTGGTCATTCAGTGTTAAGTGTGAATTAGCTCTAGGCTTTTTGTAGATTCCATTCTATGTATAATATGCTGAGAGTTTTATCATGAATGGACATTGTATTTTTCAATGCTTTTTTCTGCATCAATTGATTTTTCTTCATTAGGCTGCAAATATAGGATTATATTGATTGATTTTTCTAATATTGAACCAGCCTTGCATTCCCAGAACAAACTCCATGTGGTTGTGGTGTGTCATTTAATTTGTATGGTGCTGGATTTGATTAGCTAACATTTTGTTAAGGATTTTTGCATCTATGTTCATGAGGGATTTTGGTTTGTAGTTAGTTACCTTGTACTTTTTTGTCTGGTTTGGGTATCAATGATACTGGTATGATAAAATGAGTTGGGAAGTGTTCCCCCTTCTTCTGTTTTCTGGAAGAGTTTGTATGTAATTGGAGTTATGTGGGGTTTTTTTTAATGTTTGATCAAATGTACCAGTGAAACCATCAGGGTCTAGAGGTTTTTGGGTTATTTTGTAAGATTTTAACTGAATTCAACTTCTTTAATAGTTGTAGGACTATTCAGATCATTTATTGCATCTTGAATAAGTTTTGGTAGATTATGATTTTTATGAAATTGGCCCATTAGAATTGCTGAATTTATGTGCCTAGTTTTTCATAGAATTCCCTTATTGACCTTTTAATATTTTAGAGTCTGAAGTGATACCCTTCCCATTGTTCATACTGATCATTTGTGTCCTTCCATTTCTTTTTTCTTTGTTATTCTTGCTAGAAGTTGACCTATTTTGTTGATCGCTCTTCAAAGAACCCCCTTTTTGTAGTTTATTGAATTTCTTCTATTGCTTTTCTCTTTTTAATCTTAGTTTCTGTCTTATCTTTATTTTTTATTTTTTCTTGCTTGCTTTTTAAATTTTTTTTCTCTTCTAGTTTTTTTTTTTTTTTTTTTACACAATTACTTAAGACCTTTTATTAACAGGTGCTTGCAGTTTGTTGAATTTTTTAAAAAAATCAAATTGTAAACTTTTATTACAAATCAAAAATGAGGTTCTTAAAAATCTTAGCTTGACCAGAGATGACACCATTTAAAAACTTTCAAAGGTGTATTGAGAAAAACCAGGCTTTTAAAAAACAAAACCACGTTTGTCACTACCAAAATGAGACATCTTTAGGTAAAAATAATAAAACCGCATGCTTTGTAGATGATGCAGATAGTTCTGGTTATCTGGCCCATGGGCAAAACAGAAGAAGCACTGAGGTCTTCAGCGCCCGTCTCTGCTCATCTCACTGCTGGATTCCACATTCCTCTCGTCTGGATGACTCAACCGGACGATGGTGGGGATGGTGAGCAGCATTTACTCAGCCTCCAGAGCGGACGAATTCTCAGCTGGTGGATCAGCTGGTTTGTGTCTTTGCCCTCTTGTGGTTCAGGGTTTTCTGGGCATCTGCCTTAGTAATCGAAGTTGCGGGGGTACCAAGGTTGAGGTGGCTGCTGACCTCGGGTCCCATCTCCTTGGTGTTCCTTACCTTCTGCTCTGCCGTCCTCTCTAGGCTCTTTCGGCCCAGAGGGCCCTAGTGGAATCGTGGTCTGTAGCGCCGATACATATTCTGTCTCACTGGTCTACCTTGTTCTCCTGCACCCCAGTTGTCAGCACCCTCCATCACTTTTCCCTGCACAGGAGGGTTGGAATACTGGGGTCGACACCTACAGGGTCTCTGCGTGTGGTCAGGTGGGAGCCATAGCCTGCGGGAGGGAGGGCACTGTCGGGCCTGGCCCTCGGGAGCTCTCTCCCGCCCCTCATTCTCTACTCCACTCTCACCGTCCTGCTAGTCCTGCTGGTAATGGTGCGGAGGAACCTGCCACGCGAGGAGCGTCTGGTGGTTATGGCTGCGCATTTCCTGCCTTGCACTGGAGCTCCGCCCGGCCTATAACACTTGCTGCCTCCGCACCCTTTTCTCCTTTAACATCAGACTCCAGTCTCTCCATCTCCTGCACTGGAAGGTACTTCCTGGGGTTCTTCTCTATGGCACCCTGCTGTACAAATACATCTTCCTTGGTGTCACTCCTGTTGATGAGGCCATATTTGTTTCTTGCATTGGACCATTTTATTGTTCAAAACCTTTGTTGTGAGACCTTTTTGTCCCCACCGGCAGGTGCCACTGATGTGAGGCCACCAGGGCTGCCACTCCCTGTGCCCATGGTGCCCGGCTTGGTGTCAGCAGCGCTGAGGGTGGGGCGGCAGGCTGCTGCTGCTCGATTGTCCTTGCTCATGGTTGCAGCGATGGCGACTGGGGTTGGCTGCTCTGCGGCCCCTCCCAGGTGTGATGGGAACCAGGCCAGCAGTGGTGGGGCTACTCAGGGTCTCTGGGGTCTGCTCTCTGCTCCCACTACCAATTGAACTTCTCATTTCTCAAGGTGAAACTTTAGGTTACTGATTTGAGAAATTTTCTCTTTTCTGATGTATGCATTTAATGGTATAAATTTACCTCTAAGCACTGCTTTAGCTGTACCCCGCCCCCGACGTTGATGTGTTGTATTTTCATTCAGATCAAAATAGTTTCTGATATTTTCTTAAGATACCCTCTTTGATTCATGGGTTATTTATAAGTGTGGGTATTTATTTTCCAAGTGTTTTGAGATTTTTCTGTTATTGATTTCTAGCTTATAGTCACAAAACTTGATATGATTTCAGTTTTTTATTTATTTATTTATTTTTAACCCTCACCCAAGGACATTTTTCCATTTTTTGTTCAGATAGAGTGGGAGGGAGAGAGAAACATGGACGTGAAAGGGACACATCGAGTGGTTGCCACCCGCACGACCCAACCAGAGCCGGGAACAAACTGCAACCAAGGTGCATGCCCTTAGCGGGAAACGAACCCCGGTCTCTCTGGACCGCAGGCCAATGCTCTAACCGCTGAGCCAAACCGGCCAGGGCTGATTTCAGTTGTTTAAACATGTGTTAGGATGTGTTTTATGGCCCAGAATGTGTGGTCCTGCTTGGCGGGTGTTCTGCTGGTGTGGGCTGAAGTGTAGTGTCATTTAGGTGCAGATGGTTGATGGTGCGCTGCGTCCTTCCCCAGCCTTGCTGGCTTTCTGACTACTGGTTCTGTGACTAAGTGAGGAGTGTTGGATTCCCCAGCGAAGCCAGTGGCGGCTTACCAGAGGAATGTACCCGTGGCCTCACGGGGGCCTCCTCTGCTTATGCTTTTCCTGGTACCACAGAAGTCCCTGCTCAGTGTCTTACAAAACCCACCTCCCTCCCGTCCTTGCTGCGGTCACACTGGAGAAACACTGAGCTTCCCGGCTTTCCACGGCCACGTGAATCCCAGTCCACGGTCTCTTGGCACCAAGTCTTCCTGGAGCCGCCCTCTCTCAGTTGATTACTCTGTCACTAGGCAAGGTAGCTGCCTCCAGAGGGCTCTGCAGCAGGTGCTACCAACTTGGGGCTCCTCCAGTAGCCACAGGTGGGGTGCAGGCAGCTGCCTGCCTCTCCCGGGTTCCATGGCTTGTCCTGAACACAGGATTTCACGGGAAGCCAGGAGTGTGGCTTTTAGAAGTGGGCAGACAGCTAAGCCAGCCAGGCCCAAGCTCTGAGACCTGGCCACTTGCTCACACCTTTGAAACCCAGGATGGAGCTGTTTTAGGATGAAGAGATGACCCACAGCTCTGCCCAGGGCAGGGTGAGCTCAGGGAGCAGCTCTGATTGAGGTTCTTTATTGAAAGCTGTGTTTTTCAGTCATTTCCAACAAAGTACTTAGTTTCAGAAAAGCTTGGTAGTCCTCAGGTCGGCGGGGGCACAGGGAAGGCAGGTGGAGACCCCATCCTGGGAGGTTTGCTCTGACGTGCACGTTTCTCTCCCACACCACAGGTGACCCCAGGATTCAAGGAGAAGGAGGGGGAGCTCTTGGTCAGGGGACTATCCGTGTTCCGGGAATACTGGGACAAACCAGAGGAAACGAAGAAGGCGTTCACCTCGGATGGCTGGTTTATAACAGGTGGGGGCAGGGCAGAGAGGGGAGGGCCCTGGAGGAGGGGTCGGAGGGGAGGGAAGGAGTGTGGCTTGGCCGCCCCAGGTTTTCACCAGCCTGGACACCCATGATCTTCTGTCAAGGGCAGAGACAGGGCTGGGGGGCACTTTGTGTCTCATCTTCATGGCTGCACCCCCACCCAGCACCTCTGCCCCCTGCCAGGCCCTGAAGGGAAGGTCCTGAGGGGACCCTCAGGAGGCACAGCCCCTGCCTGGTGGTCCCAGTGCCCCTCCTGGGTCAGGACACCGCCATTCCCAGTCAGCACTGCGCTCGAAGTCAGAGCTCCCCCTCCCCCCCCCAGCCCATCCTGCTAGCCTTCCCCAGCCCCACCGAGGATCACAGCTGTTTGCTGGAACATGGTTTCTCTGTGGTGTGGGCACTTCACTTCCCGGCTGGCTTCCTGCTGAAGTCTGCACTCTTGGTGTCGCCCTCCCAAGCAAGCAAGTAAAAACCTGTCCCCAGAACCCTGGCCCTCGCCTGGCAGGGAGGTCAGCCCTGCTGGAGAGTGCGGTGGCCCCCAGGCCGGCATCCTCCCAGCTGCTCTGCGGAGCCTGCCCCGCCGCCCCGCCCCGCCCCGCCCCCACCTCCTCGGGTCCAGCAGTTGTTCCGCTGCGGCTGTGTTGGTTCACGCGTGTGCGTGCTCATCTGGAACACGCACCAGAACCTCAGTTCCTGACCTCTCAGTGGGGGGATTCTGGGTGCTTTCTCTATTTCCTTTTGCCTGTCTGTATTTCTAAAACTTTTGTGTTGAGCATACATTGTTCACAGTAATCTCAAGGCAATATTTTCTAAACAGAAAGGCCTGTTTTCACATGTCACCAGACACGGCCCCATCATCAGAGATGGGCCTCGAACCCTGCCCCGCTGAGGGAACAGAGCTCAGGAGTAAAGGAGGCAGCCCGCAGGTGGAGTGGGGTACCACTGGGGGCCGCTGTGCACGTCTGATGGCAGAGGGGGTGTTAGAAGTGGCCGTGGCCGTGGCATAGCCTGGTGGCCCCGTGGCACATGCTGCCTGGGTCTGACACAGGCATGTCATCTCAACAGGCTGAGGTCAGCGTGGACCTGTAGGGGGTGGACCCCATGTCCACTCTCCAATCTGCCACTGCCATGGGCCTGAGGTCACCGACTGACAAGAGTGGGGAGCTGTGTGGACCCAAGTGGGGCTTGTGGGGAAGGGGCAGATAGAGGGTCCTTCTGGGAGGTATCAAGTGGCCACCTTTCTGCCCCTGTGCAGGTGGCACTTAGGGCTGGACTTGCTGACCCCAGCCTGTTCCATGTGTGCCCTGTGGTCCCACAGCCTTCCGTGGCTTCTCTCTCGTGCCCTCTCAGGAGTGTACCTCTCAGCATCTGTGGTTGGCAGCATCCCATCCCCCGGCCCCTCCACACTGAGCAGATTTGGGGAGGATTCGAAGGGTTTTCAGATTGAGTCCAGTGTCCCGGGAACCCTGGCTGAAGAGTCTGGGGTGCCGGTCAGCAGAGGTCCCGTGGTTGTGGACCCCGGAGCCCAGGTTACTTGTTTAGGGCCCTCCCGTCTGCCTGTGACAGGACGTGGTCAGTATATTAACACACGCCCGTCTGGTTTACCCTCTGTAAACATCTGCGTTAATACCTGTCAGTCTGGGAAACAAACCTCTCCTTTATTGTCCTCCGAATGCAGAATTTAGCAAACGTCACTTTCTAACGCATCTTGCTTTGTACGCGTACCTTCTGCAGCCCTCTGAATGGCCCGTTTGGAGACCTGACTTACTTTGTAGCCATCTTCTTTTACTTTAAAATTCAGATAAAAAGCTGCAGATTTTTCCCCCCTTTAAAAGCACGGGAACCAAAACCCTGTGGATTTTGCCGCTAGCAGGGCTGACTGTGCACGGGGGCGGCCGCGGCGCCGAATGCGGGGCAGTCAGCCCTCAAACATTGCAGTCACCGCTCCTGATGAATATTTCAGTTGGAAAGGAATCGTATGCATTAATTATTGTAAAGAGATGTCTTTAGGAGAAAATGATTTTGAAATTCGGTTTAATTTCATTGTAATGCACTGCAAACAGGAAGGGAGTATGTGTGTTTAATTGGCTCTCGGGGGTGAGGCCTGGAAGCCGCATGCCTTTGTCACAGGCCATTAGCGGTACAGACTGCATAATGAGAGCGCGCAATCAGCTCGCAGCTGCCGGCTCCTGCGGGGAGAGCATGATATTAAATAGAAATCAGGATAAATTAAACTTAACCCTTTCCCGGGCCAGCCCCTCCTGCCACGCGGATCCCAGCAAGAGCTGGGGAAGGCCGGGCCCGCCAGCTCCTCTCAGTGGCCTGCACGTCTAGATGGCCGGAGACGAGCTGGCCGCTCAGTGCGAGCCACGCCGGCCCCCCTGCCCTGCGTGTCTGCCTCCTTCCCTGCAGCCCGGTTCTGCCGGGGAGAGTGTGTGTGTGGGGGGGGGGTTCCTCCTCACACGTCCCTGACGGCCTCAGTGACTCCTGACTCGAGTTTCACCTGAGCTCCGCCCCCCTCAGAGAGGGAAGCTGGTCGACACTCGGGCTTCAGTGCCCGCCCAGCGCAAGGGGACAGGCGATTCCGGGACCCCGGCATCCTCAGGGCTGCACGTCGGTCCTGCTCTCGGAGCCGAGGACACGGGATAAGGCAGAGGCGGGGGGACACGGGTGGAGATGAGAACTCAGGACACGCATGAGGACAGAGATGAGGCCCAGGGCCCAGATGAGGACACAGACATGAAGACACGGGTGGAGATGAGAACGCAGGACACACATGAGGACAGAGATGAGGCCCAGGGCCCAGATGAGGACACAGACATGAAGACACGGGTGGAGATGAGAACGCTGGACACGCATGAGGACAGAGATGAGGCCCAGGGCCCAGATGAGGACACAGAGATGAAGACACGGGTGGAGATGAGAACGCAGGACAGACCTGGGACACGGACAGAGCTGAGCAAATGCTGCAGCTCCTGCTGCCTTCTCCATGCTTGTCCCTGCAGTTTTGTAATTTTAAAGAGACTGATAACTGAACACGAGGAAATAAAAATGGCATCTCTGATGATTTCAAAGACTATGCATCCTACACTGTTCGGTGTTGAACAAAGACATAGTAAACAGTGAGCTCTATTTTCCTAATGTTAGATAAGTACCTGTGTAGAGGTATTTAGGTAACTGGGAGAAAGAGCCACGGGAGAATCACCGGAGCATTGCCGGGGTGTCTGGGGGTGTCCCTTCCCTTTTTTTTTTCCTAAAATGAGCTCATGATACTATTACCAGAGACAAACATTAAAAGCTGTTTATTTGAGGAAACAACTCACCAGTAGGACAACAGAAGAGAGATCCTGAGGTGGGTTGGCCTGAGGTTTGCAGCTGGGCGGAGGGAGGACGTCCCTGAGGGGTCACTGGTGGTGACTGAGCCCTGACGGTGCAGCCCGGGGAATCAGCACTCACAGAGCCGGTCAGCCTGAGCACAGTGACGGGCAGGTCACAGGAAAGAAAGAAATGCAGCTGGCTGAAAAATGCAGAAAATGTTTCACTTCCTAATGAAGAAAGAGATAAACATAGAAACAAAGACGGAACCCTTTTGATCAAATTGGCGAAGATTCTTCAAAAGCTGATGCTCAGTGCTGGGAGGCCAGCGCTTCCCACGTACGGTGGGATTGTGAACCCAGGGAGTTCCTAGGAATCTGTTTACAGGAAATCATCCGAGGTGTTAAAAAATGGACGCGTAAAGCTGTCTGTTGCAGAATTATCTCGAATGTGAGAAATTGGGATCGCTTGCTCAGCGATGGGGGTGGCATGTGGATTGTCATCCATCCAAACAGCAGAACAACGTGAGACTTTAAAAACCTTGTTTTCAAAAATAGTGACACGCGGGAACCTCCTGTTGGTGTGTGTCATATACACACGCGTGCCTGGGTGTCACGTGCGGCGTGCGGTGTGTTTGGGGTAGTGTATGCCGCCGGCTGTTATCACTGCGTGATCTTCACGTGTCCTCCGTTTTCTCCCTCGTCCTCCAGCATCTCCTCAGTGGGCTTTGTTACTCCTGCAAACACAGGTAAGTATGAATGGTTTCGAATTTCACTGAAGTGGAAGCCTTCTCACGTTAAGAAGGCCTCAGGATGAGCACTCCGAGCGCGTTTGCTCCGCTCACAACTTGCCAAGGCAGCTTACTCGCAGCCGCTCTGATGCATTTCTCCAACAGGGAGTACTCTTACTTTGACCAGTGAATCCTAGTTAGAAATTAGGCAAAGTGTGGCAGTGCAGGGCCGCAGGTGTGACAGCCTTCACACCGGCCGACCGAGGGTGACCGTCTCATGCCCAAGCCTTGCTTTCCCCCGAGGCAGGGTGCCTGTTCCAAAGACGCGAGGTGTGGTTGGCCGGTCAGCATGCAGCTGCCCTGGCTGCAGGCTGAGCCCTGCTGTGGGCCTGGTGCCCTCTGTGGACACCTCGTGTGCAGAGCCGCTGGGGTGTGGTGCCCTCTGTGGACACCTGTGCAGAGCCGCTGGGGTGTGGTGCCCTCTGTGGACACCTCCTGTGCAGAGCTGCTGGGGTGTGGTGCCCTCTGTGGACACCTTGCGTGCAGAGCTGCTGGGGTGTGGTGCCCTCTGTGGACACCTCCTGTGCAGAGCCGCTGGGGTGTGGTGCCCTGTGTGGACACCTCCTGTGCAGAGCCACTGGGGTATGGTGCCCTCTGTGGACACCTTGCATGCAGAGCCGCTGGGGTGTGGTGCCCTCTGTGGACACCTCCTGTGCAGAACCGCTGGGGTGTGGTCGTCGGCAGCCGGCCTCGTGTGTGTGCTGTGTTTGCTCATGTCACTTAGAAATCCTTTGTTCCCAGCAGTCATAAAGATGTTCTCCTATATTTTCCTCTGGGACTTGTCAGGCTTTGCTTTCACGAGTTAAGTCTCCGACCCCCTGGAACTGGCTTCCGTGTGGAGTGACGTGGCGACGTCGCGGCGCCTGCTGCCCTGTGCAGACCC